GACCTGTGTGACCTCTGGGGAGCAATTAGTCATCTAGGCGGCCAATTAATTCATCCTTATTGCCGGAAATGTCTCTCAGGACTACGACACACACACACACACACACACACACACACACACACACACACACACACACCTTGCTTGGGTCTCGTATTTGTGACCTTTTTCGTGTGTGGGCGTAGCGTGGTTAAGTATGTTACCTTTGTGTTTTACAGTAATTAAGAACCTTTTCTACCTATACTGTATCTGATGGCTCATTGAATTCTCCTTTACGATGTTCTATATTAACATGTTAGCTTATAAACAATAGAACATATATTATTAACAACATGTAAGTATTGTGTAGGGTAGAGGGACACAGCTAACCAGAGTGAGAGCGTGCTGGAGTGAGAGCGTGCTGGAGTGAGAGCGCGCTGGAGTGAGAGCGTGCTGGAGTGAGAGCGTGCTGGAGTGAGAGCGTGCTGGAGTGAGAGCGTGCTGGAGTGAGAGCGTTCGTGTGTGTGTTTTAAATATCAAACTTAAGCATTAGAAAATAGTTAGGTAGATGCAAGGTCAAAGAAAATATTTAGAATATATTTGTGTGGTTGTTATTACATTGAAAAAAAAAAGAGAAAAAATATTTAAAAGTGATAACACGAATAAAAAAAAGGCAATAAAGCAATTGATTTAAGTGATACAATGAGCCCAAGGAGATGTGAGATGAATCACAGCCAAGAGAGTAAGAAGGTTTCTCTTAACACGAGGCCACACTAACCAAAGGGAGTATCTCAGCCACCAGGATAGTTCAGTAAAGGTTAAAATGGTGTGAGAAGAGGTAGTGGTGGATTGAGGTGTGTGGAGTCATTAATGTTGTTTGGATATAGTATGTGTGTGTGGGGGGGTATAGTGGCTATATTTTCCTTGCCGATGTAGTTAGTGTTTTTATTTACTATGATAGATGACCGTCGGGACGTTTGGTGAATCAGGGACTCGGATCTATGTGGGAGTTCAAGTGTGAGTGTATGATGAGGTGGGAGTGAGTGTGTTGTTGAGGGAATGAGAGCAGGTGTGAGTGTGGGGTTACTGTGGGGTGGAGTGTGGGGTTACTGTGGGGTGGAGTGTGGGGTTACTGTGGGGTGGAGTGTGGGGTTGCTGTGGGGTGGAGTGTGGGGTTACTGTGGGGTGGAGTGTGGGGTTACTGTGGGGTGGAGTGTGGGGTGTGTCTGTGTTTACTTTGCGGCTTGAGACTTGGACTGTGTGATCTTGTTAGCACGGCCATAGGACTTGGTTACCTAGGTATTATAATCGCTGGTGTTTGTATCGACGTGGGGATATAGACATTTGAGGGTAGGTATAAGGTATGGCTGCGTGTATAAGGTATGGCTGCGTGTATAAGGTATGGCTGCGTGTATAAGGTATGGCTGCGTGTATAAGGTATGGCTGCGTGTATAAGGTATGGCTGCGTGTATAAGGTATGGCTGCGTGTGTAAGGTATGGCTGCGTGTATAAGGTATGGCTGCGTGTATAAGGAATGACTGCGGGGGAACGATATACAAGGCCTCGTTCAGATACCTCTTGGTTGCCATCATGAGACCGAAATAACAGAGAGATACCAATAAGGGGGAAAAACCATCTGTTATCTGATGTGATATACGCCGGCGACGCCCCTGGCATCCACCGCCAGAGGAGAATGGAGGAGACGATAATATCACCAGAGATTTACGGGAACCTTGAGCTGATAAGCCTAAATTGCTGTTGAGGTAGAGGCCAGGGGTGGAGGTAGAGGCTCTTGGAAGGGACGTGGAAGTGGGGGGGGAGGATCTGATGGAGAAGGAAGGTTAAAAGTCGATCAGGCTAGCACAGTATTTCCCATTCTCTTCTTGCTGTCCATTTGTTACCGGCCAAGGAAATCGAAACCAGAAAAGAGAGTAAGAATCTATCGTTTATTTGTACAGTTACATGGATATGAGACTGTTCCATACACCACCCTTTTAGGTTCTCCCTTTTCCTCCACAGTCACAGTCACTCCTTCCCACCTCTCCCACACACCTTCCCCACTCCCACACATCCTCCCATCTCTCCCACACACCCTCCCGCCTCTCCCACACACCCTCCCCTCTCCCACACACCTTCCCCGTCTCTCCCCACACTCCTTCCCACCTCTCCCACACACCTTCCCCACTCCCACACACCCTCCCCTCTCTCCCACACACCTTCCCACACTCTCTCTACTGTAACGATCACACGGACATCTTGACAGGTCGTAGCTCCAGTAAAGCCTCAACACTTGTCATGACTACTTCCTCTCTACACCGCCTCTGATGTAGTCACGGCTGTTCCTGTACAATATATTTTTCCTCACACCGTAAAATAGTTATACGTCAGCTGACAGATGGTTGGCGAACGTTCGACTGGCGTACATAGCTCCTATCACCATGTCGTTATTGCGAACTCCAGACACTGTTGAAAGCTCGTGCTAGTACAAGAGTTTGTGTCACCTCAATTGCAGATCAATCCACTTTGCTGTGGGCTGAGGACTGACGATAAGGTGTGTCTATGCTAAAGTGTGGTGAGAGTTGGTGTGACGATCATTCAATTGGGATAGAAGGACTCAGTCTAACGTGACCTTGATCCTGGTGAGAGGGACGCGTTGGTTAGGTTAGATTAGGTTAGGTGTAGGTTGTCTCAAGTGAAATGAAACAATAAAAGTGAAATTAGAATGACCATAGGACACTCTGGTAGCTCCCATCAGGCAGAGTACCCACGTGCCTAGGAGCCCTCGGGGTTAAAGGGCCGCCAACACGGTATTATGCTATTTTGTATTATATTAGATACGGGTTGGAAATAACAAAAGAACACTCGTTTTTTCCTGTTGTACGTGCGACACCTCCCCTTGCTGTACGTGCGACACCTCCCCTTGCTGTACGTGCGACACCTCCCCTTGCTGTACGTGCGACACCTCCCCTTGCTGTACGTGCGACACCTCCCCTTGCTGTACGTGCGACACCTTCCTGCTGTACGTGCGACACCCCCCTTGCTGTACGTGCGACACCTTCCCTTGCTGTACGTGACACCTCCCTGCTGTACGTGCGACACCTTCCCTTGCTGTACGTGCGACACCTCCTCTGCTGTACGTGCGACACCCTCCCCTGCTGTACGTGCGACACCTCCCCTTGCTGTACGCGCGACACCTCCCCTTGCTGTACGCGCGACACCTCCCCTTGCTGTACGCGCGACACCTCCCCTTGCTGTACGCGCGACACCTCCCCTTTTTATAGTCACCATAACTTAACTTTTATTTATATTCTTAAAGTGAACGAAGACCACTTGAAACTTACTCCATGAAGACCACTTGAAACTTACTCCAACACGAAAGAGATGGAAATAAAAATGGAAAAAAAGATAAGAAATGAAAGTGAAAATGACAAAAGAAAACAAAGAAAATATATAAACGTTATGATTGCCAAGTTCCTGATTTGTTGCTGTAAAAAGAATCTTGTTGAAGCGGCCAGCAGTGTTGATCGCTTGCAACTCCTCAGTATGGGGTTGGGGGGGTTGGGGGGGGTGTTGCTTAAGAGGTGATGTAGTGTGTTGAGGTGTGTGTGACTCAAGGGGACCACGCTGAACACAGTGTTACTTATCTTGTAACACCGCCACAACCACGACTCATACGCCAACATTACGCCTCCACATTCCACTTCCACGTCCTTTTCACACCACCACCACCTCCCCCATGCTACTACCACACGCCCCAACATGCTACTACCACTCTCCCACATGCCACCACGCCCCATGACACACACACACACACACACACACACACACACACACTTGTAAATGCCCACACACCACAGCAGCAATCCATTCCACGCAATGATTCCTCCTCCTCTTCACCACCTGACCCCTCCTCCCCTTCCTCCTCTTCCTCCTCCTCCTCCTCCTTTTCACCACTTGACCCCTTCTCCTCGTCTTCCTCATCCTTATCACCACCTAACCCCTCCTCCTCCTCCTCACCACCTACCCAACTCCCTCCTCCTCACCACCTAACCCCTCCTCCTCACCACCTAACCTCCTCCTCACCACCTAACCCTCCTCCTCACCACCTAACCCTCCTCCTCACCACCTAACCCCTCCTCCTCACCACCTAACCACTCCTCCTCCCCACCACCTGACCATTTCATCAACAGTTAGGAAAGTGACGACAAATTTACTGTAATAATTGTGAGATCCGTTTTATAGAAGCCTGGACCACTCACAGCAGAGTCTAGGTCGGTGTGCTGTTACTGAGAGTCTTGTGCTGTTACTGAGAGTCCTGTGCTGTTACTGAGAGTCTTGTGCTGTTACTGAGAGTCTTGTGCTGTTACTGAGAGTCCTGTGCTGTTACTGAGAGTCCTGTGCTGTTACTGAGAGTCCTGTGCTGTTACTGAGAGTCCTGTGCTGTTACTGAGAGTCTTGTGCTGTTACTGAGAGTCCTGTGCTGTTACTGAGAGTCCTGTGCTGTTACTGAGAGTCCTGTGCTGTTACTGAGAGTCCTGTGCTGTTACTGAGAGTCCTGTGCTGTTACTGGGGGAGCTGTAACTGAGGTCTGTGCTGTTACCGAGAGTCCTGTGCTGTAACTGAGAGTCCTGTGCTGTTACTGAGAGTTTTGGTGTGCTGTTACTGAGAGTCCTGATGTGCTGTTAGGTAATGAGGCTGTTTTAGTTAATACGTATTTAAGAAGCTCTCATAGGTCACGTTATTGTGGCGCCACCGTGTTGTTGTTGTTTGTGTGGCGCATTGGTCCACTGGATGAATTTGAGTTGTAAATTTGCTCAGTGACTTTCGGTAAGGTGCATAATGGGCTGTAATGTTTAGATTTTGTTCAGGGAAATAAAACCGAGTTGGTGAATCGTGTAGAAATGTAATAAAAATGTAAGTTGTTTGTTGTAGTTATGAATCGATATTTTCTTTCACTTTCACTTGTTTATATGTTGAGGGTGTGTTCACAAGCCTCGGTTAATAATGGATCTTATTTTTTTCAGTCATGGCGACTTACGATAATGCTACTGTCGAAGCCACGATCTCTGCCACAGTCTCGGACAACGATGACGACGATCCCCACACAACCAATACCCTCCCTACGTCCGACGATGGTGCGCAGTATCGTGCATCTGGAGAGTCGATGGTGACGATGACGATGGTCAGTCAAGGAAAGAAGGAGGAGAAAGAAAATCCCACGTCACACACAGAAGATAAGGAGGAACAGAAGAGATCACTCCCCTTCATCAGGATACCAAAACTGAAGCGCGAGAAGTCTTACTCTGAGACTCTCGAGAGGAAGAAGAAGAGAGTCAAGTTCTCCCCCAACGATGGCGACAATGACGTCATAGTAGACACACGCGTGTTTGAGCCCCAGCTGGTCGACTCGTGCCAGAGGGAAGACGCGGGCAAAGATGATAACGTGGTGTCCTCGACGATAAAGAAACTCCTGAGAAAGAGTTCAAAGAAGAGAAAGGCGAGTATTGAAACACAGACGGAAGAGAAGAAAGATGAAGACAAGGATAAACACGATCACAAGGTCAGGAAAGGTGATCAAGAAACACCTGAAGGAGAATTAAGTATCCTGGGTGACGTGGAGCCGCCTTCCCCTGACAGCCAGAGTGAACAGGAGGGTGACGAACCTCTCGATATTGATGCCAGTGACCACACAGGTAACGTCAGCTCTCCAGACAGTAATATACCGAAATCTCCACCTGCCAGAGCCTCAGATGAGTCCTTGAGCCTCATGCAGCCTTCCTCCGGGTTAGTCACAGCTAATACAGGTGACGGTGCCAACTGTGACGTCAGTGCTGAGGCCGTGGTGCCAACAGTGCCATGTCCTACGAAGAAAGAAGGTGAAGACGTGACAAAGTCTGATAGCAATGAACCTTGTTTGTCTACCTTAGAGAGACACACAGATACAGCAGTACCTGAAGTTAATAATGACTCCGACCAGAGGATAAATAGTCTAAATCAGACTCTTAATAATTCAAGGAAATTCCCTGATGAGAAATATGAATATGATGCAGGAGTTCCCCGTCAGGTTGCCTCTCTCTCGGAAGAGCAGGAGCTGGAAATAAGTGAATTCAGCAAAAGTGGCGAGGAACTACTGACCCTAGCCATATCAAACGACTCTAGTCCCACATCCTCTCAGGTGACCGTCAAGCGTGAGGGCACCTTCACCTTGGACGGTTCCCCTCCAGCCAAAATCACGAAGCCATCCTGCGACGCTGATGGTGCGGTCGCTGAGGGTACGGTCCCCAAACTGCCCCCAAGAGACAGTCTCATGGAACCTCTCCAGTTCTTTGTTGACCTCAACGTACCAGAACTATTAGCGTTAAAAGATTCTCCTGAAGTTCTTTTGGCTTCAGAAAATAAGAACAATAAGGATTCTGTTGTACCAGTAGCTAAGATTTCTCCAAGAACAAGTAAACCTAGCAAGCCAATAGGCAGTAATAAAAAGACTGATGATCAGAATTCTTCCATAACAACTTTAAAGAACAATGCCAAGAGAACTTTTGTAAACGCTTGGAGAACAGCCACTAAGACACAGGAGACTCTGAACAATCCCTTGAAACCTGTGCTGAAGACTCCTCGAGAACCATCAACACCGAGGTCGTCCCCAGCTAAATTAGCCCAGGCGAAAACCCCCAGGACCAACACGGTCCGGAAGCAGACCGACGCCAAGACCTCGAAGTCCGTGACCTGGGATAGGCAGCTGATACCGAAGAAGGAACCTCGAGAGCCTCCTGGTGGACGTAGCCGGGAGCCCACCAGGAGTCTTCCCCGCCAGGAGTCTGCGAGGTCACCCCCAGAGAGGAGCTCAGTATGGGGTGGGGTGTCGCTGCCAACCTTCAGGAGGGAGGGAACCTTCACCAAGAAGTACGACTCCGAGAGGGACCGCCTGCAGGCCGAGTGTAACAGACTCAGCGTCGAGAAGGAAAGGTACGTTGATCATTGTCTCATTAGCACTGTCCAGGTGTCACTTTAGTCATGTTCCAGTGTCACACCAGTCATGGCTGCATGGTAAATAAAGCATCTCCAAGTGTCAGGTCAGTCATGGCTGCATGTCTCTTTAGTCATAGCTGCATATTTGTTCAGTCATGTCTTGAAGGCTCAGTGTAGGCTGTCGGTTCAGGCAGTCTAGATAACCTAAAGTTGAAGCATCTGTCACTTCAAAGGAATAACCTAAATAAGACAAAAGCGTTACGTTCTGTTGTCATTGTTGTCACGTCTATGTCAAGGTAATGATTTAGAGAACTTGTGACTACGTTGTTAATGATTATCATAATTATCTTAATATATTATTCCATAAATTAGTTTTTAGTTTAGTAGATTGATCACAATAAATGGGTCTTTGTTTAGATAGGGACCAAACGACCAGTCATTACTCCTGGTCTTGACTTTAACTTCTCCAAAACTTACATAAAGTCGGGGTGTGATGTGGCTACTTCCTTATACCAAGCTGTAAGTTGTTGACATCATCCATGAGTTTGTTATGTTGCTGACAAACAAACAGACATACAGACAGTAAATGCCTTCTTGACGGCACGGCGGGGTATAAATGTTTTCATTGACACTGATAATGGTTACTTCCCTACGCCCCAGCACTAGAGATTCCAACATAACCTTCCTTACTTCACCATTACGATTGGTTACGAAGATGGGCTGAGTCCCTCCCTTCAGGTGAAAGGACCATTAGGGTAAGGTCCTAGTCGTAATGGTATGGTTAGGTTAGGTTAATTTTGGGTGTATTAGGACTGGGTTCCATTAGAGAAGCCGCTCTGATAATGACTCCTTTAAGACCATAGAGATTTTACTTGTGCTATGTTGTGTTCCAGGCTTCAGAGCGAACTGAGTGAGGCACGCACGAGGCTGGAGGAAGAGGCAGTGGCCAGGAAGGCTCTAAGACGCACGCACGACCTCAACCTGAGACACCTGAGGGAGGGCGAACTCAGGAGGACCGAGTTACTCCTTGGAGACATGAAGAATAGGTGAACACTGCAACGGACAGATGGAAGGGGAAGGATAGGGATGGAAGGATAGGGAGGGATATGTAGGGACAAGCAGAGAGGAGGGAGGCGGATGGAAGGGGAAGGATAGGGAGGGATAAAAAGAAAGGAACACTGTAAGGGAGAGAGAGTGTGTTGAGGAGATTAAGGACAAGAGATGGGAGAGGTTGATAAAGGATAGGAGACAATAAGGAATAAACTTGACTATTGTAGGGAGAAGGAGGTTATCAGATAGAGAAGAGAGACGCATAAACTAGGTGATGCTAAGGAGATAAAGATGACCCAAACAACACAGTCCTTACCCACAACACCTTCTCCAGACTGGAGGACGAGAAACGCGAGGCTCTGGCGCAACAGAAGGAGGCGCTGACGAGAACCCACGAATCCGACTTGATGCGGGTAGACCGGGAGAGGGACGAGGACTACCGGCGGCTGCTACAGGAGGCCAGGAACACCCAAGAGAAACTCAAGGCCGAGATACGACGAGAATCTTACAGGTGAGTGACTGAAGGAGAGGACCCTGAAGAAGTGGCTGAAGGAGAGGCTTTAGTACACTCACACCGGGATGATTTTTCACAATAACAAAATATAAATAGAAACTAAACATCATGACCATAAAGATTATTCCCTTTTCTAGAATAATAAATTAATATATACATTTTTTTTTCGTTGGTGGGCGTTGTGGTCACTCGCCCACCACAACTTAACACTTACCTCATGAGACTAAGGAGAAAAAAGCCTACAGTCACATCTCGCAGTTCAGTGGATTTTTCTCTCGTTACAGATCTGAACATCCTCCCTTGCAGTGTTGCCACAGTACAGATCGTGACCTGGATAGATTGAATCGAGATTTGTCAACGCTGCGCGAACACAAGAAGCGACTGGAGGAAGCAGTTCTGGTAAGTGTTGATGACGTCACTGTTTACATACATTTATTCATGACGTCACTGTTTACATACATTTATTCATGACGTCGCTGTTTACATACATTTATTCATGACGTAACTGCTTACATACATTTATTCATGACGTCACTGCTTACATACATTTATTCCCTCATTTAAAAGAAGAATTTACTTACGTGTTCGTATAAACTCAGACACTATATGTCCCCGAACGTCCATAATACCCGGGTACTGGGAACAACATGAGGTAATCCGGGTACTGGGAACAACATGAGATTACCCAAATAATAGCTATTTTATTGTTTATGTTTCGTGAATGGTGTTGCCTTTATGACTCAGAGGAGGAGGAGGAGGAGGGAAAGGAGAAGAACGGTAAACAGTGAGAGGGAAAGTGAATAAACTGGTATGTGTAAAGAACAGGAAAACAGAAACAACCTCAGCGTGTTATAAGAGGTGTTGTAGGTGCGGTTGTGGGTAGATACAATACACACTGGAGGAGGTGGAAGGTTATACGCGAGGGTTGTGGTGGTGGTTGTATATGAGATGAGGTCATAACTTCTGTGTTGTGAGATAGTGCTGCTTGATGCGGTTATAGTGTTGCTTGATGCGGTTATAGTGTTGTTTGATGCGGTTATAGTGTTGTTTGATGCGGTTATAGTGTTGCTTGATGCGGTTAGTGTTGCTTGATGCGTTTATAGTGTTGCTTGATGCGGTTATAGTGTTGCTTGATGCGGTTATAGTGTTGCTTGATGCGGTTATAGTGTTGCTTGATGCGGTTATAGTGTTGCTTGATGCGGTTATAGTGTTGCTTGATGCGGTTATAGTGTTGCTTGATGCGGTTATAGTGTTGCTTGATGCGGTTATAGTGTTACTTGATGCGGTTATAGTGTTGCTTGATGCGGTTATAGTGTTGCTTGATGCGGTTATAGTGTTGCTTGATGCGGTTATAGTGTTGCTTGATGCTTTGATGCGGTTATAGTGTTGCTTGATGCGGTTATAGTGTTGCTTGATGCGGTTATAGTGTGTGTTTCTGACCAACGGGATCTTGAGGGAGAATGGTGGTGAGGTTTGAGGCGCTGTGCAGGAAGGCTGGTGGACATCTTAGTAACGACGAGACAATTGTACAGTAAAACACACTCGGCTGACTCGCTTAACACCTGTACCTTTAGTGAGCAAGAAAAAACAAATAGAGTGTTTATTAATGTGTGTAGATAATAAAGTCTGGGATGAGTGTTAGGCCTGTTTTAAATCCCAGTTGATTATATTGTACCTTGTTTTTACCACCCCACCTCACCTCACCTCACCTTACCTCACCCCACCCCATCCCACCCCCAACCCACCCCACACCCCACCCACCCCACCCACCCACCCCCCACCCCACCCCCACCCACCCCCACCCAACCCACCCTCACCCCACCCCCATCACCTATGCATTGGGAGGATATAACAGTGGGGGGTTCTGTCTGTCTGTCTGTCTGTCTGTGTCACTTTACCCACTGTGTTCAGACACGTAGTTTGTTCCAGCAACCTTCTCGTCTCACCTGAATTTATAGTTGGACGTTTGAACCCTCTGGTGTTTAGCGGCGTATAGTTTAAGTACCCAAGTGGAGTTTAATGGTGGGAGAGACGCACGTAAATAAAGGTCAAGACATATTCCGTTTATATTATTAGTCCATTAAGAAGTCATTAACATACAGCATATATTTATTTTTAACGCTATAGAATGGTTTTCCACTTAACAGGCGTGTGAAGAATTCTTGCGTTTATCTCACTTTGTTCCGCCACTCCTCAACACGACCACAAGACCACGACGGAACCTCATGTGATTTCGAGAATTCGCGGCAGTGTGTGTGTGGTGCGCCAGGTGACGATACTCGTACACTCGAAGTCGACCATGACACCTGTCACGCTCAGCCAAGGGCGCGTGACAGGTCACACCAGCACACGATAAGCGGTTAAACCAGTTACCTCTTGTGTTCTATCACGTGTGCTCTACAATGGTAACATCTGTTTGTTGCCGTGAGCGAACCTAGGTCACTCCCCGACGGCATGTCTGAGTTAATTTGTAACTTTATGATCTTGTGTGATGAAGATAAATGCTTAATACATAAGTCACTTTAGGCCTAACTAGTATTTGGTAAACATAAATGATATTGAGCCCAGCCTATTATTGAAATCTTTTGTGATAATTTATACAGATTTGGTATGAATAAAAAACAAACATTGAAGGCATATCATGTTGACCACCACAGTGTATAATATCTCACACGTCGAATAATTTTCATACGGCCGAAGTTAACCTGGACCGACTTCACCTGTGTCCCTAAACTGCCGAGAGGTAAACATGTAAGCGTTGTGCCACACGGGGTGGTAATTGGTCAGGTTCACACTGTAGACTCACGATCATTCTTCAACCATTTATAACAACGACAAATTGATTTCCTTTGTCCTGTGTCTCCAACTTTATCCTTCTTTTCCAACTTGCTCACCTTAACGCGTCTATTCCTACTGTAAACCTCTCGTAGTTGTTAGTTACGGGAGAGAACCTCAGTAACTTACATGTTCTTCACAGTGTTTCTATTGTTACTGTTGGGAGGTGATCAGAGGTAAGAATATCAAAGATTATTGTGAACATACCACCGTGTACAGAGTATATTACAGATGTAAACATAGACAGGCTATTTAATCAATCAGAATCTGAGTTTGTGTGCAAGTGCGTGAGTGTTGATTTTACAGGTTGAAACTTGGTGGTATATGCTCATCGTGTAGTGGTGCCAACTCGGTGTCACAACCTTCCAAGAGAAACTAAAATAAACACAAGGCAATAAGACCATGGCAACGGTGAGAGGAGTTAAGAGAGTGACTACATGTGCTCGGCGGGGAAGATTTAAGTAAGGGATAAAGGAACATGGAACAGATAAGGCGAGGTAAACACTGGGAAGGTCAAACATCACTACGAGAAGAAGGGAGATTAGAGGGCGAGATGAAGTGTGAACAATAAACTAATATGACCGCGGGTAGCCAGAGCCAATACATACGACCCAATTAAGAAATATTGTAAAAAACGAAGAGGCTGAGTGAGAGGTTAAGTTCGGTTAGCTTAGGTCAAGTTAGGTCAGGTTAGGTTAAGTGAGAGGTTGGAACACACGGTAAATAATAATGGGTTTTAAAATTTGTATAAAAAGAAGAATAAAAAATAAAGGAACTGAATGATGAATAGATATAGGGATGAATTAAGAAGACATGTACAAGGGAGATAGGATGTTCACTTACACATTACCTTTAATATATAACCTAGTTTTGTGGGGATCAAGGGGTTACAGAGACGGTGATGGTGGTGGGTGTAGGAATAATGGTGGCAGTAGTGGCGGTGGTGATGGTGGTGGGTGTAGGAATAATGGTGGCAGTAGTGGTGGCGGTGATGGTGGTAGCGGTGGTGGTAAGTAGGTGTGCACCAAACCCCGTGGCCGCTATTTATAAGAACGTGGGGTGACGGTTTGTTTTGCACCACCACCACCACGCACCCACCACCACCACGCACCCACCACCACCACGCACCCATCACCACCACACACCCACCACCACCACACACCCACCACCACCACCACACACCCACCACGCACCCATCACCACCACACACACACCCACCACCACCACCACACACCCACCACCACCACCACCACACACCACCACCACCACACACCCACCACCACCACGCACCCATCACCACCACGCACCCATCACCACCACCACGCACCCATCACCACCACGCACCCACCACCACCACGCACCCACCACCACGCACCCATCACCACCACGCACCCATCACCACCGCGTATCTAGCACACCGGAGGCTGCAGAAAGAGAGGAGAAATGTAGGAAGGAAGGAGGGGAGAGAGAGAGAGAGAGAGAAACAGGAAGAAGACAAAGAAAGTGAAGATAGAGAAATAAGCGTGTAAGGAAGAGAGGGAAAGAGAAAAAGGATAAAACAGAAGAAATAGAATAAACGGAACAAAACAGTAAAATGAATAGAAAGAATAAAGATGGGAAGGAGGAAGAGAATAAAATGATGAAGAAGAGAGGCAAGGGGATTGAGCGTAGGTGAGAGATGATAATGATCCCCAGGTGAGATGCGGTAGATCATACAGGTAAACAGGAAAACGACAGGTAAACACTAACAAGACAGGTAAACAGGAAAGCGACAGGTAAACATAAACAAGACAGGTAAACAGGAAAGCGACAGGTAAACACAAACAAGACAGGTAAACAGGAAAGCGACAGGTAAACACAAACAAGACAGGTAAACAGGAAAGCGACAGGTAAACACAAACAAGACAGGTAAACAAAGATGAATTTCCCAAAGATTCGTAAGTTGAATTTTCCTCATAAATAGAACTGTAAGAACATCATTCATCGTGCTGTCTAAATTACTACACAAAAATTACGTCCTCCAATGACCATCAAAACACTGGAACTCTCTACCTTAACTAGATACGATTATTGTACTAGGAAGACGAAAGTTACCTTGAGTGTCTTGATGTTTGAGGGCTGTGGGTGGTAATGGGTGACGGGTGATGGAATGGTTGGGGGAATTTGTTTGGTTTTATTCTGTCTGTTCCTGTCTCTCTGGATGGACGGGTAAGGGTGTGTGTAGCGTGTGTGGGGAGAGATTTTAGGGATGTTTTGAATATTGGGGAGAAGGTTTATGGGGTGTTTAACATGTGTGGGGAGAAAAATTAGGAATGTTTAGCGTATGTGGCGAGGGAAAAAGTTTATATTTGTTTTAGCATTGGGGGAGAAAGTTTGAGGGTGATGAGGATATCTAGGGAGATAATTTAACACAGTCTGATATTGGGGTGAAGGTTTAAGGGAGGGTGTGTGTGTAGCGTGTGTGGGGGAGAATGATAAAGAAAGATTGTTGATTTTTTTAATAGGAGAGAATTCCCTCCCGGTAAAATAAACATTTGGTGTTTATCTTTCGTGAGCCATCAGCT